AAGTCAAAGCTCTCATGCCCGGTCCAAGCGAACAAATGTTCTGCAGGCTGAAAATGTAGCACAGAAGTTAAATATCCTCCAGAAAACTCACAATAAACAAACTGATCTACAAAACAAACTAAAATGCAGAACACACAAACAATGAGTTCATTCAGTGCTGAATGAAGTAAACGTCCTGAAACAGAGCTGCCATTTTCCTCATCTCCCTCGCACTTTTATGTAGGCTGCACAACCACAGGCTACACATTCCACCGAGAGCCCAAAGCAGCCAAAAGTTTGCTCAGTGGACTGTTTAGCCTGAAGTGAGATCTAGTTTTGAATCATCTACGTGACTCAGCTGCACCAGGCCGAACGGCAAATGGTAAATAAAACCTGACGGAAAGAAAGCATGTCGCCGCTCTAATCTCCCCTTCAAATGTACTCTGATATTTACATGAACACAGATGTGGCGATATGAACATTTGAATATCTTTAATAAACCAACAATATAGCGTGTTTGTTCAGCCCTGTGCGCAAAGGTGTCCTGTGACTGTAACAGAAAAAAAAACCAAAACCAAACAAAAAACACAACCTTGGCTAACCTTGATGGTGAGAAATGCTTTGATCTGCAGAAGGATATCGTCTTCCAGTTGGGCTTTCCGCCCACAGGAAGGTTAACGGCCTGGCTGAGTGTCTGAGAAACACCTTAAACCAAATCCAGGATGATTCAAGACAATAAGAAATTATTTTCTTACTCACAGCACCAGCCTGCTGCCAAATCTATAAAAAGTTGTTTTCATAATCTGCACGAAATGCTTACTTTCAGACCTCCAGGACAAATGCTTTTGTTTTTTTCAGCTGCAAAGGTCCAAATGAAGGAGACAGAGAAAATACGTGAAGTAGGACACGCGCAGCAGCAGACACACAGCTCAGGAAAGCAGACAGGAGGTGAGATGGATGGACAGACTCAGGGCTGACTGAATGAGCAGCAGGCAGAAAGGACTCAAGATGCTCATGGGGAGGTTTATTTATAGTCGCACTGCAGGATGAAAAAGAAACAACTGGGACAGTCTCCAACTTGCATGTCACCCTTTTATTAATGTCACTCTTCCTGCAGCTTCTCAGCAGATTACTGTTGAAGGAAACGTGACCTTTCAGTAAAGATGTGAGGTTAAAAGTGTCTTGACGTGCCCCTCACCCTATGACACTAGAAAAAGGTTGAAGCCTGACCCTAAACTGGATAATTGAAAGAAAATGGATGGATGGGAAAAAAGACAATATGAAACAAGTCAGCCTTCTAATCGGTCTAACTTTGTATTGACATGAATTTGCATAAACTTAACTAAAATTTGTGTTCGCTCAGCTGTCTTCTTATTATTAAAATCCAATACCTGTTCTATCAACGTCCAAAAAGGGCTTCTTCCTGTTTCTTCCTTTCACAATAAAAGGCCCTGACATCTACACCGTCTGTTTGACTCACAAACTAAGTGCTCAGCCAGACTGAAAAACAGGAAGTTAGTGTAGAGCTATACAAGCATATTAATAAATAC